GGGCTAGTGGACCATGAGAACTTCAGATTACATGACCCTGCTACCAGGTGAACTAGTTGATGCCCAGGTACTGTTGCCAACCACTTAGAAAGGGATCAAATTTGTAGATCCTGGATAGCGTAGGAGAAAATGTGGAAGAAAACTCAATATCATAAAAAAGACAAGACTTACTTGCCTGATAGAGACTGGCAAAACCTCCGATACTATGGTCCCTAGTCATTCTTTGGGTCTGGAATTGAACTCACTCCCATGACTTAACTTCTAGCCAAATGATAGACAGGCTTACGAGGTGAACAGTTACACTAGTTATGTACACTCCTTAGAACAATCAACCATGGGCCATCAGAAGGGTAGCATTTGTGCAGGGAGAAAGTTCAGATGGCAGGAATTCTTAGGAAAGAAGGACACAGGGAAAAGTTACCCACCAAGAGGACATGGGAAGAGATCTGTTGCATTGAGGAAATTGCAGTTTGTATCATAAGAGAAAGTATGTATGTATGTTGAATGGGAAGAAAATTTGCTCTTCTAAACTTTCACTCAAATCACAATTTTAAAAAATGCAAAAATAAAAAATGATACTGAAGTAAGAAGTCTAACATGCACTGAAGGCACTGGTGAAAAACAAGACTGCAGGAATTTTCAGAACACCAATACAGATGTTTCAAAAAGTGGATGCAATGCTGGAAGCATGCACTTGCAAGACATTTAGAAGACAGCTACCAGGCCAACCAACTAGAATAAATCCATATTTGTATCCAATCCAAAGAAAGTCCATACAGCAAAATGCTGGGGATACTGAAGAATATCATTAAGATAACACATAAATAAAATTTTCCTGGCGATAATGCAAAAATAGTTACAGCAGTACATAAGGAACTGCCAGAAATTCAAGCCAGATTTAGAAGAGGATATGGAATGAGGGATATCATTGCTAATGTCTGATGGATTTTGAGTGAAAGCAGAGAATAACAGAAAGATATTTACCTGTATTTAATTGACTATGCAAAGGCATTCAACTGTGTGAATAAGAAGTTATGGATAGCATTGTAAGAATGGGAATTCCAGAGCACTTAATTGTACTCATGAAGTACTTGTACACTCCAAGAGGCAGTTGTTTGAACAGTACAAGGGGATACTGAGTGGTTTCAGTCAGGACATTTGTATATTAGGACTGTATCCTTTAACCATAGTTATTCAATCTGTATGCTGAGAAACTGGCATATGTGAAGAAGAATATGACATCACAATTGGAGGAAAACTTATTAACAACCTGTGATATACAGATGACACGATCTTGCTTGCTGAAAGCAAAGAGGACTTAAAGCACTTACTGCTGAAGATCAAAGAGTACATTCTTCAGTATGGATTGCACCTCAACACAAGAAAGGCACCAATCCTCACAAATGGACCAATAAGCAACATCATGATAAACAGAGAAAAGACTGTCAAGGATTTCATTTTACTTAGTTCTGCAATCAACACTCATTGCAGCATCTGTCAAGAAATTAAATTACATATTGCATTCAGCAGATCTGGTGCAAAAGACCTCTTTCAAGTATTTAAAAGCAAAGATAACACTTTAGACTGAGATATGCTCAACTCAGGTCATGGTATTTTCAGTTGTCTCATATGCATGTGAAAGCTGGACCATGAATAAAGGAGACCAAAGAAAAATTGGTACCTTTGAATTATAGTGTCAGTGAAGAATATTAAATATACCATGGACTGCCAGAAGAATGAACAAATCTGCCTTGAAAGAGGTACAGCCAGAATGGTCCTTAGCAGTAAGAATGATGAGACTGACATGGACATGTTACCGAGAGAGACCAGTTCCTGGAGAAGGACATCAAGTTTGGTAATGTAGAGAGTCAATGAAAAAGAGGAAGACCTTTAATGAGATGAGTTGAAAGAATGGCTGCAATAGTGGGCTCAAACAGAGCAACAATTGTGAGGATGGCGCAAAACTGGGTAGTGTTTCTTTCGATTGTATATAGGGTCTCTATGAATGAAAACTATCTCAACCAAACCTAACAATATAGCAACAGTAACAGATTCTAGTATGGTGTTATTAAGCTAAATATAGGTCTTTAAAGGAAATTTTTGATTTGTATTAACTCCTTGAAGATCATTTCAATATAAATTTTGGGTTTTCTTCAGGAGTTTGTGAAAATAAAAATTTTGCTTGGTTTAAATTACTTGAATAAGCAGAAATGAGACTGGATTGGAAAATAATCTGGTGGAAGAGTGAATGAATGCATGAATAAGTAAATGAATGAATGAACTTATATCAGTATCTCAAAGAATCTCTGCCTTTTGCTTCCTAATTCAGTGGATGATGTATAATTGAGCCAATTTCCTATTTATTGATTTATTTTTATTAATAATCCCTGGACTTTTCTTACCACAGTGCTGCTATTCAGACTAAGGTCATGAATTTCCTACATAATGTGGTTTAGTTCATTAAACATGGGCTATGTTCATAACCTCAGCCAGCTATGCTACAGGTATTGATGAGGATTTTCAATCATACAGGTAATTGGTGTAACTTAAACTTCTGTACAGTCATGCTTGTCATAGAAGAGAAAGCCAGTTAGTTGGCCTTACAAATAAATGAGCAGATTCAGCTAAATGTATTAAGGAAAACATATTATAATACTGAGAAAATGTTTGTAAAGCTGAGTTGTTAAATTTTTATAGAGTTTAGAATACTGCATAAAAATCATGAAGTATATTTATCGTATTCTCCAGTGAATGTAGTCTGAACAAGCGGTTTATAACTCATCCTAATTTTAATTGGGTAGGCTTGTTTACATCAGCCACTGAGAGTTTATACCTAAGTCATTATTCATTTAGTGACACTGAAAAAGTATTTCCAATTTACCAACAGTTTGAATAGAGAAATAACCCTACATGGAAAATTGTGTTTCTTGAAGAATTAAGGAAATGAAAGATAAAAATGGAAACAGTTGTCTCATCTACTTTATTCCCACAGGATTTTAAATCTCAGTCTTGCATTACTTTATCAGTCTCTTCCCATGTTCAAAACTGGGAGGTTATAAGTGACTTTGGTGTAGGTGGTTTTGCATCTTTCAAATTGTCTGCTCAGCAGGCAACATCAGACCTTTTTCACCTGCGTGCAGAATGCCATATTTGCCTAGCAGTTGCATTGGTAAATATTGTGTGAGACACCCTGGATATATCCCTTTTAGATTAAGCTTTTACTTGTTTCCAAATGCACTTCTGGTTTCCCTATATCTATCACTCTTTGATTTTCCCATTTTTTCTAGTACAGTGGGGTTTTGTCTAAAAGAATACTGATAACAATAATTCCCCCCCCCGAGAGTAAAGTAGACAGTGAGGCTGTGATTTTAATAAGTATGAAACCATGTCCCTTGACAGAAGGGAAATGTACAGAAACCACACTATAAATACTATCCAGAAGATTGGTTCGGGCCGTTAAGCTCAACCTAACTTTTTCCACCAGTTGTTGTGGGCCATGATGTTGCCTCTGTCTTCACACTTTATGTGAATGAAGGGAATCTATTCCACAGCTTTTCTGTCAGTTTGTCATGCTATAGTGGTTTGCGTGTTGCTATGAGGCTGGAGGCTATGCCACTGTTATTTCAAATTAGTGCACGGTCACCTGTGGTGGACAGGTTTCAGCAGACCTTCCAGACTAAGCCAGACTGGAAAGAAGGATGGAGCCATCCACTTCTGAAAAAATTGGTCACTGATGATGTACTATGCCGGGAATGGCAAGTTGAAGAGGGATGGCATTGCATTCATCATTGAAACAAATGTTTTGAGATCTATCCTGAAGTACAGTGCTGTCAGTGATAGGATAATAACCATACACCTACAAGGAAAACCAGTTAATACTTTTGTTGTTGTTGTTATGTGCCGTCAAGTCGGCCCCGACTCATAGCGACCCCTCCTTGGGTTTCCGAGGCAGTATCACTACGGAAGTAGGATTGCCCAACCTTCCTTCCAAGGAGTGACCAGTGGGTTTGAACCGCCATCCTTCTGGTTAGCAGTCAAGTGCTTTAGCCACTGTGCTACCAGATTTACACATCAACCACTAAAGCCAAAGAAGAAGAAATTGAAGGTATTTACCAACTTCTGCAGTCTGAAATTGATCAAACATGCAATCAAGATGTACTGATGATTATTTATGATTAGGATGCGAAAGTTGGAACAAAGAAGAATGATTGGTAGTTGGAAAGTATGGCCTTGGTGATGGAAGTGATACCAGAGATTGCATGATAACATTCATAGCAAATACCCTTTTTCAGCAACATAAATGGTGGCTATACATATGGATCTCACCAGATAGAATACACAGGAATCAGATCGACTACATCTGTGGAAACAGTCAATGAATAAGCTCAATATCTTTAGCCAAAACAAGGCCAGGAGCAGACTGTGGAACAGACCATCAGTTAGTTTATATGTAAGTTCAAGTTGAAGCTAAAAACAATTAAAACAAGTCCATGAGAGCCAAAATATGATCTTAAGCATATCCCAACTGAATTTATTGACCATTTAAAGAATAGATTTGACACACTGATCTAAAACAGACCAATTGTGAGATGACATCAAGGACATCAAAAATGAAGGAAGCAAAAGGTCATTAAAAAGACTGGAAAGGAAGAAAAGACCAAAATGTGTGTCAGAAGAGCCTTTGAAACTTGCTCTTAAATGGAGAGTAGCTAAAGCAAATGAAAGAAATGACACGATAAAAGAGGTGAACAGACGATTTCAAAGAGCAGCTCAAGAAGACAGAGTCAATTATTATAATGAAATGTGCAAAGACCTGGAGTTAGAGAAACAAAAGGGAAGAACATACTCAGCATTTCTCAAGCTAAAAGAGCTGAAGAGAAAATTCAAACCTTGAGTTGTCATATTGAAGGATTCTATGGGCAAAATGTTGAATGATGCAAAAAGCATCCAAAGAAGATGGAAGGAATACACAGTCACTGTACAAAAAAGAATTGGTTGAGCTGTTTCAGAAGGTGACATATGATCAGGAACCAATGATATTGAAGGAAGACATCAAAGCTGCACTGAAGGTACTGGAGAAAAACAAGACTCCAGGAATTGACAGAATACCCATTGAGATGTTTCAACCAATGGATGCAGCACTGGAGTCACTTACTTGTCTATGCCAAGAAATTTGGAAGACAGCTACCTGGCCAACTGACTGGAGGAGACTGATATTTGTGTCCATTCCTAAAAATAGGTGATTTGACAAAATGTGGAAATTATAAAACTATATCATCAATACCACACATAAATAAAATTTTGCTGAAGATAATTGAAAACTACTTGTAGCAGTATATTGACAGAGAATTTCCAGAAATGCCAGCTGGATTCAGAAGGGGATGTGGAATGAGGGATATCATTGCTGATGTCAGGTGAATCTTGACTGAAAGCAGATAATACCAGAAAGATGTTTACTTGTGTTTTATTGACTATACAAAGACATTCGACCCATGGATCGTAACAAATTATAGATAACGTTGTGAAGGATGGGAATTCTGGACACATAACTGTGCTCAGGAGAACCTGCACATGGACCAGGGCTGTCATTCGAACAGAACCAGGGAATACTGCATGGTTTAAAATCAAGGAGGGTGTGCATCAGAGTTGTATCTTTTCACCATACTTACTCAATCTGGATGCTGAGCAAATAATCTGAGAAGCTGGACAACATGAAGTGAAGCGTGGCATCAGGATTGGAGGAAGACTCATTAACAACTGGTGACACAACCTTGCTTGCTGAAATTGAAGATTTGAAGCACTTACTAATGAAGATCAAAGACTACTGTCTTCAGTTTGATTACACCTCAACATTATCAACTGCCATCGAGTCAGTTCCAACTCATAGCAACCCCAATTGGGTTTCTAAGGCTATAAATCTTTATGGAAGTAGATTGCCTCATCTTCCTTCTGTGGAGCAGCCGGTGGATTTGAACTACTGACCTTTTGGTTAATTGCCTTACCTACTAAATCACCAGAGCTACTTATACTGCAACATTAAGAAAATGAAAATCCTTTGCTTGCTGAAAGTAAAGGTGACTTAAAGCATTTACTGATAAAGATGAAAGACTACAGTCTGTGATATGAATTACACCTCAACATAAAGAAAATGAAAACCCTCATAACTAGACCAGTAAGCAACATCATGATAATTGGAGAAAAGTTTGAAGTTGTCAAAGATTTCATATTACTTGGATCCACGATCAATAGACATGAAAACAGCAGTCAATAAATCAGACATTTTATTGCACTGGGCAAATCTACTGCAAAAGACCTCTTTAAAGTGTTGAAGAGCAAAGATGTCACTTTGAAGATTAAGGTGTGTCTAACCCAAGCCATGGTATTTTCAATCACTGCATACGCATGTGAGAGCTGGACAATGAATAAAGAAGACTGAAGATGACTTGATGTTTTTGAGTTGTGGTGTGGGTGAAGAATACTGAATATACCATTGGATTGTCAGAAGAATGAACAAATCTGTCCTGGAGGAAGTGCAGCCAGAATGCTCCTTGGGAGCAAAAGTGGCCAGACCTCACCTACTTTGGTTATCTTGTCAAAAGAGACCATTCCCTGGAGAAGGATATAATGCTTGGTAAAGTGGAGGGTCATGAAAAAGGAGAAGGCCCTCAACAAGATGGATTGACAAAGTCACTGCCAACAATGGGCTCAAGGATAGCAAGGATTGTGAGGCTGGCACAGGACCGGGCAGTTTTGTTCTGTTGTACTCAGGGTGACTGAGTCAGATCTGACTCAATGGCATGTAACATCAAGAAAATCTATTATTATAAAGGCAGAATCCCTAGGGGATGCAAACAGGTGATGTATTGAGATGCCAACCAAAATGTTGGCAGTTTTAGTGCACCCAGAAGCACCTTGGATTAAGAGCCTGACTAGCTGCTTCTGAAAAAAAAAAAAAAAAAAAGCCTCTGAAAACCTTATTGAGCACAGTTCTACTCTTGACACACATGGGCTCATCACGAATTGAATTTGCCTTGACAGCAACTATAGTTTGTTTGTTTTTTAAGCTATTTTTATAAAGACATATGAACACAAGCTTTGGAACTTAAAAGTACACACACTATGTATGTGTGGCTTGACCCTTTTAGCTACATCCAAAGCTCACCAAGTGTAAGACAGTAAAATCATTTCAGACTCTCATTAAATATTTAATCTGATTTTCCTCTTTGTCTCTCACTCCTACTCTGAGTCAGCATAAGGTCAGGCTTTTTTGACCGGTCATCTCTAAAGATTTACTTTAAAAATTCCTAAGAGGCCAAAATATGTCTCTGAATTGATCATTTAATCCAACAACATAGATCACTTGATTGAGTGCTCAGTGCACTCACATGTGGTGTATTAATTATATTCTTCATTCTACCTTTCTGGGAGATTCTAGTCTCCTTCTGGGAGGTTCCTGGGAGCAAGCTCATAGGCCTACAAGAATAGGGATCCTGGCCAGGGCCCACCTAACGTAGCACTTACTGCAGTGCTCCTTGTAGGATTGCTGTTTTGGCATGGCTGACTCCGCCATAAGGAGATCTGGTAGCATAGTGGATAAGGTATTTGGCTGCTGACCAGAAGGTCAGTGGTTCAAACCTACCAGCTGCTCCATGAAAGGAAGATGGGGCAATCTATTTCCTTAAAGATTTATAGACTCGGAAACCCAATGGTGGTTGCTGTGAGTCGGAATCGACTCAATGGTAGTGATTTTGTTTTTTTGGTTTTGACTCCTCCATGGGATTGTGAACTCTGAATGGCAGAAGCCAGGCCTTACTCAGCTCTGGATCCCATTTATCTAGCAACATATATGCAGTACCTATGGTGTACCATGTTCAAGCTTAAGTAGTTGCCACTCATAGAAATCCCATGTGTCCCAGAGTAGAGCTGTGCTCTATAGTATTGTCATGGCTGTCACCTTTCAGAAACAGATCACCAGGGCTTTCTTCCCAGGTGCCTCTGGGTGGTTTTGAACTGCCAGCATTTGGGTCAGTAGCCGAGTATTTAACCTTGTGTGCCACCCAGAGACTCAGGTACCAAATTAGCCCCTGAGAAAACGGAGATTATTAGGACACAGTCTCTGCTCTCAGAAAAAACTCTATCAACAAACAGAGAAAGAAATGTGATAAGCATAATAGTAATGAGTAATATCAAAACTGTGGGCCAGGTTTTGTGTTAAGTGTTTAATAAGAACCATCCCAATAAAACCCTGTGACATAGAGACTGTTGACCTCCCCATTTGCCACTGAGGAAACTGAGGCCTCCTAAAATTACTTAACCTTGTGCACAGGCTATAACAAAACCAAACTCCTCTGCCATTGAGTTGACTCTGACTCATAGTGACTCTGTAGGGTAGAGTAGAACTGCCTTATAGAATTTCCAAGGTGTAAATCTTTTTGAAAGTTGATTGATTGCCTCATCTTTCTCTTGCAGGGTGGCTGGTGGGTTCCACCCACCAATGCTTTAACGAGTACACTACCAGAGCTCCGTATAACAAAATTTGAACACAAGCAGTTCAATTTTATGGTGTTTGAACTCTTAACCACTAAATTATATAGCCTAGGGGTTGTAATAAAGGAATATATTATCAAATCATGGAGAAAAGACAGCCTAATTTTTTTTCTTTGATGAATGAGGTAAAGTTAGGGGGAAGGATTCAGACTAATGACTAAGGATATGTAAGATTGTACTAGGCAAAGAGAAAGCAAGAGAGTCCAGGCACTGGAAAAACACAGAGATGTGAAAACAGGACCTCCAAATTAGCAGTTCATGACCACTCCAAAGAATGTGGTTTGAGATTTGGCAAGGTTGAAGTAGACTAGTTATATGGGAGAAGTTACAAGTAAAGAAATTTGAACTGTGTCCTGAAAAATATAACAGGCCTTTAAAGATTAGAAGGATATAATTGCATCTTTATTTTAGAAAAAAATGTAATGGCAATACAAAAAAAATGGGCCAGCCAAAATGGATAGGGTTTGTGACTTCTCCTTCAAGGAGAAGAAGCTAGTCTTGGATAAACCCCAGATTTCTGGTTCAAGTGCACTGTAGTCCTGGAAGCAGAATAAGTTCATTATTACTCTTTTAGAAGATTATCTTCCAGCATGTATGAAATGTCTTAAAAATGTTCAGACTCTTTTCCTAGTAATTTCATATCTGGGAATTAGTGTTGGAAAATAATACACAATGAAAAATGTGCCTTTAGGTCAGCATTTGTGATAAAATGGTTCAGAATACTTAAAATACATTGATGGAAATGAAGAAATAAGTACATAAATAAATAATTAAATCATTGGTAAATGAAAATACTTGAAAACAATGTAGAGGCGTAGTTTACTATGGTACAGTCAGTTATGTTGTTGTTGTTGTTGTTAAGTGCCGTCGAGTTGTTTCCGACTCATAGCGACCCCATGCACAGCAGAACAAAACACTGCCCGATCCCACGCCAGCCCCACAATCCCTGCTATACTTGAGCCCATCATCACAGCCACCGTGTCAATCCATCTCGTTGAAGGCCTCCCCCTCTTTCGTCGACCCT